TTTGCCGTCTTCCTCCTCGCTGCCTATGGCCGTCCCTCGTCTCTCGCCCTCTCGCTCTGCCAGGTAGGAAATGGGGACGATTAGCCGTCCGGGAGGCATGCGGCCCAAGTGGCACAAGAAGCGCATAAAGCGCCTTAAGCGGCGTCGCCGGCGCATGCGCCAGCGCTCCAAGTAAGCGTGAGGGTGGCGGCTGAGTCCTGACGCCGCCTCCACCGCTGTTCCCCTTGAACCAGGTGCCTTTTTTTTGTGGAGCTTTCGCTGAGTTCATTTCTGTTTTTTTGTTGTTGTTTGTTCTTGCTAAAATGGGACACGCATGGGGGTTTGATTCCATGCGGGTTTTGCCATTACTGTTTTGGCCTTGAAGTCTAAAAACTGTGTTTTCGTTGCCCCGTGTTCTTTGTGGGTTTCTGTGTGTGTATCCTCTTTGTTGCTATTTGTGTGTTTTAGACGGCGTGTGCGTGTGTGTTGTTGTTGTTGTTTTTGTTTTTTGTGCGAGGTCTTTTAGTGGATGCATCCACGCATTTCAGGGCAGGGCGTCTTTCCACGCTATGGCGGTGGGTGGATGCATCAGTTCGGCCACGTGTATGCGCTTCAGCAGGAGTTACTGAACCCGCAGTCCAGCAATTGGTTTAGGGCAATTGAACTTTGGCACACGGCGCGCCACGAGGGAGTTGCACTCAATTCCGCGCATTACACAAATATTCTTCGCCAGTGCGTTCATGCGACGGCGTGGGAAGCTGCACTGAAGGTGCTTCGCCAAATGCAGCGAGAGGGCATCCGTCCAGATGTCGTAGGGGTTGGCTGCGCCCTGGCCGCATGTGCCGATGCAAACAGGGTATGCGAGGTTGAGGACGTGTTCAATGAGTTTAGTGGTAAAATGGCTCTGGACAGTGTCTGCTACCTCGCGCTTATCAAGGCAAAGATGGCAGACGGGCGGTGGGAGGAGGCCATAGCGGTTGGGGAGCGGCAGCAGGCGGATGGAGTGCACTTTCTTCCGCATACGTACACGCACCTCCTCGAGGCCGCAAATGAGGCGGATGCAGGGGACTTTGCGCTGGCGCTGGTGCGCCGCATGCGAGCGGAGCAGTGGGAGCTGCCGGAGAGGGGGCGTGCCGCCTTCAAGAGGTTGTGCGTGCGTCGCAATTGGAACGAGGCGTTCGACCAGCTGGGCGCCTATAGTGCCGCGGGCGAGTCGTCCCCCCGGCTTCCGGGGGCGTCTTCGTAAACGCGGCTGCGGTGGTGCGGCCCCCCGCAAAGCGAGCGGTGGGGAGAAGTGATGCTATTAAGAAAAAACGAACTATATATATACGGCGGCAGCGAGGCGCGGTGTGTCATTCATTCTTCCTTTTCCTTCCCTTTCCCACTCCCTCCGTCGCTGCGTTTGCTGCTTGCCGGCGGTCACCCCACTGAGCTGCCGCTTCCCCCCCCCCCCCCTCATTGCCGCGTGTAAGTAGGCATGCCACAGAGCAAGAGCCGCGGAAACAATTCCCGGGCGTGGCGGGAGCGCAGCGAGTCTTCCAACAGATCGGCTGAAGTTCATTCTTCCGATGAGTCCGCAACGAATGGAGATGATGATGCTGCGGGGGCGTGGGCGACGGTGGCTCCGGCACCGGGAAGACGCGGCAGACAAAGGACGTTGAAGCAGGAGCATGTAGCGTCGGGGTCCAGGTGGCCGTGCCGCATCTTGGGGGCTCTCTGCGCCCTTTTGGTCGCCTATGTCCATCTCTACTCCAACATGGATGCCGATCACGACTTCCCATGCCGCTGTAGCGAGGCGGGCGGGGGGCCACTCGCGTCCGCGCTTGCAAGTAGGCGCCTGGGCCTGACGGGCGTTCATTTGCACAGCCTCAATCGGGCGGCGGTGAGGGAAGAGCTTGCGGCCCTCTCGAGATGTGCAGCCATTCACCGACTGACAAGTGCCTTTGAGGACGTCCCCTCGTTTTCCAAGCGCCTGCGGAGGGACGCAGCTCACGCCAGGTGCATCGTTTGGCTTGCTGAGGACGTGTACGTCGTGCGCGGAGTAGCAAACGCGATGAAAGAGCTCCTGGAGGACAACGCACTGCGGGGCGAGCACATTTTGCGGGATGGCTCAAGAGGACTTTTCGTGCTGATGTCAAACAACAGCCGTGGGGAGTTAACAAATATCCTCCCTCATCGCGTGGTTCACATGTTTCGCACGATAACTCTGTAGCGAGCGCACGAATGGCTGAAGAAGGAGCTCGCCGACATGGATGTGATGAAGTGAGACGGCGGCA